AGCACACGTTCAGCTCGATAAAATCCTCACCTTCTTGATCCAGCAAGACGGGCGAAGTAGTAGATGAGTTCCGGCAACACGACGGCGTGGTGACGGTGTTGGTGAAGAACAATCTCCATAGGGCTTCGCCAAGCACAACGGAAACTATGATGGAGGATAAACTAGAGGGGATGGGGTTGCCGGCACACGGCTTGGTGATTCTTGATGTGTCTTGGGTACTAGCCCTGCCCCTCTATTTATATGTTGAGCCTTGGGGTCGAAACTTGGAGTAAAAGCCTCCTCAAAGTCGGTTTTACCCCAAAGGCAAGAATCCTTCTCGGACTCCAGGACCAGACGCCAGGGTTCCCGGCATTTGGACCCAGATGCCAGGGACCCTGGCGTCTGGCCCCTGGACTCCGCAAAACTTCCTTTTGCGCTTTCCAAAAACCTTGTGGGCTTTCCCCCTTTGGCCCAAATAAAGTGTTCTTGTACCCAAACATTTCGGGAAACATCCCCTTCCGGTGAATTCCGGAACCTTTCCGAAGACCAAACACTATTATCCCATATATCAATCTTTACCTCCAGACCATTCCAGAGCTCCTCATCATGTCCGTGATCTCATCCGGGACTCCAAACAACATTCAGTGACCAACATACATAACTCATATAGTATTATATCATCAACGAACGTTAAGCGTGTGGACCCTACGAGTTCGAGAACTATGTAGACATGACCGAGACACCTCTCTGGTCAATAACCAATAACGGAACCTGGATGCCCATATTGGCTCCTACATATTCTACGAAGATCTTTATCGGACGAACCTTATGACAACATACGTAATTCCCTTTGTCCATCGGTATGTTACTTGCCCGAGATTCGATCGTCCGTATCTCTATACCTAGTTCAATCTCGTTACCAGCAAGTCTCTTTACTCATTCCATAATAAATCACCTCGTAACTAACTCCTTAGTCATTTGCTTACAAGCTTATGATGTGTATTACCGAGAGGGCTCAGAGATACCTCTCTAATACTCGGAGTGACAAATCCTAATCTTGATCTATGCCAACTCAACAAACACCTTCGGAGATACCTGTAGAGCATCTTTATGATCACACAGTTATGTTGTGATGTTTGATAGCACATAAGGTATTCCTCCGGTATCCGGGAGTTGCATAATCTCATCGAAGGAATATGTATTTGACATGAAGAAAGTAATAGCAATAAAATGAACGATCATTATGCTAAGTTAACGGAAGGGTCTTGTCTATCACATCATTCTCCTAATGATGTGATCCGTTATCAAATGACAACACATGTCTATGGTTAGGAAACCTTAACCATCTTTGATCAAGCGAGCTAGTCTAGTAGAAGCTTACTAGGGACACGGTATTTGTTTATGTATTCACACATGTATTTAAGTTTTTGATCAATACAATTGTAGCATGAATAATAAACCTTTATCATGAATAAGGAAATATAAAATAACAACTTTATTATTGCCTCTAGGGCATATTTTCTTCAGATTTATCATTATTGACTACTTGAATTGCTTGGTAATGAAGAAAGATGCCTACTGGAGGTGTTAGGATTGAGTAGTGGTGTGTGTACAGCGGGGTGAGGGGGTGCCTAGAAGGGTGTAAGACATATTGGTCGTCCATTTTCCTTGTACAACTCGAAATACATATGTGTTTTTCACACATGTCATCAGCTCCTCATACACAAAATACGCACAATTTGTAAAACAAACTAAGTACTAGCAGAAGACATACGTTACAGTAGGGGAACCCAAATTGATCATGGCATAGTCAATCCACTGAGCTTTTCTTGTTGCCATTCAATCTTCATTAGAGAGAACATTTGATTTGAGACTTTCACAGCCTATTGAGCCTCTCTACTACCTCTTTCATTGTTGGTCGATACTTAGGAGACTCCTCTGTGCAACTTTGTGCGATGTCCAAGAAAGCTTTCACCTCCTTTGTTTCTTTTTCCCCTTCTAAACCCATTCGATGATCCGCAATCTCCGAGGATATGTCGGCCTCAACCTTTTCCCTTGCCCATTTCAATAGTTCTACCTCCTTACCTCTAATGTTCTTCATTGGCCAGCTTGGTCGTCGACCGGTCACTGTCTCCATCATTAGCACGCCAAAACTGTACACATCTGCTTTCACGCTTGCTCCCACACCTTCACGTATCTCTGGTGCCATGTACCTTTGTGACAGTTGCATAAACATAAGATCACATATATCCTTTTTGAAGCACAATAATCCTATCAATGGTCTAAAATATGAGAAATGTGGTGTTTGCTACTGAAAAGAAAGGCATTGTATACCGAACTATGTGTGCGTTTAAGTTTTAATCTACTAGTAGTACTCCCTCCGTCCCATAATGTAAAACGTTTTTTGACACTACACTAGTGTAAAAAAACGTCTTACATTGTGGAACGGAGGGAGTAGTATTTTGTTGTCTAAAATTCATTAAATTGCACTACCGTAACTACAACATACTCAACTTCACTGCAGTGAGCTTGTCTTCTATGCATAACTTTAAACCACTCCTTGTATTTATATGTAAACAAAATGCAAAACATGCGACCACAAAATAGTTAGATAATAATTTTGGGTGTCCTAGAAAAACTTAGCTTGGCAGTTGTTACCGCTCCTGCGCCCATAGAAACGATGTTGGGCTACTTAAATATGAGTAAAATTCATTAGTCATATTGTTTTCCACATAAAAAGATGGCAGGACGAGGTGGGTCTACTGCAAACTCAGTTTAAACTATGAAAAATGACTCCCTTCGACCGACCGATCTTGGACCAGTGTCCGCCGCCTCCAGGTCCGTTAGATGGGCTCTTAATCAGATAGTCGGGAGCCAACTCCTGTATCCACCTTCTGAAACTGATCCATTGTTTCAAAAAGGGTTCTGAAACTAGCCCCTTGTTGCAAACCGACCAGAGGCTAGATTCAACAGCGCCCATGTTAAAAAAATCTGCAACAAGACTCATGTTGCAAAAAAAAATCTGCAACATGTCCCATGTTTCAAAAAAAAAAATCTCGCAACACAAACATGTTGCAAAAAAGAGCACAACATAACCTCCGTTGCAAATATTTCCGCAAAAAGACCTTTGTTGCAAGGTAGAGAAAGACGTTGCATTGTGTCATATCTGATAGCTCGCTAGGCGGCGGATCTTTTAAACTATGCCTCATCCAACTTTTCACTAGTTTCAGTCGAATTTCATGTCGTCTGATGCATTCGTGCTCTAAAAGGTTTACGGGTGTGTTTGAAACTTGCAACACTGAAAACATGCGCAAAATGTAAACTCTTGAAGTGAAATGATTTGCAAGAAGGTCAGTGCATTACCCCGCTGTGCCGGCGGCCTGCGTGCTGAGCTGCGACGCGGCAGGGCCGCCGGTGACGACCCTCGCATGGCCGAAATCGGCGAGCTTGGCCTCGAATCCCTCGTCGAGTAGCACGTTGCTGGACTTGACGTCCCGGTGGAGCACGGGCGGGTGGCGGTCGTGGTGCAGGAAGGCGAGCGCGGCCGCTGCGCCGCGGGTGACGCGGAGGCGCGCGGGCCACGGGAGCAGGCCACCGGCCGAGGCGGCGTCGCCGTGCAGCCAGGCGTCAAGGCTGCCTCGCTCGAGGAGCTCGTAGACGAGGAGGCGGTCGCGCCCGGCGGCGCAGTAGCCAAGCAGGCGCGCGAGGTTGCGGTGGCTGAGGCTGCCGAGCACCTCCAGCTCGGCGCGGAACTCGCGGTTGCCGGCGCCGGCGGCGTGGTCCGCGGAGAGGCGCTTCACGGCAACCGCGGGTCCTCCGTCCGGGAGCACGGCGCGGTACACGAACCCGAAGCTGCCGTCGCCGATGATGTTGTCCGGGGAGAATTCGCCGGTGGCCCTGGCGAGGTCGTCGAGCGAGAGCTTCTTGAGCGAGGAGTCGACGGCCGATCCGTACAGCGACCACGACGAGGAGAGCTCCGACGATATTCCGACCGGGGCGGAGATTGGGAGGGACGACGATGACGAGCAGCGGTGGTCCGGCTCGAGGAGGCGGTTCTTGCGGTGGCGGCAGAGGAAGGCGAGGAGGAGGCAGGGTAAGGAGATGCCTACGAAGGCAGCCACGGTCACGACCAGCGCTTGGTACACAGCTTCCATGGCTGCAGGGCCGGGTAACTACGGAAGTGGGGAGGAAGATGTGGGCTATTGATTCGTGAGAGTGAGAGGAAGAGGAAGAGTCGCCCGTGGAGTCAAGAACGTTCGGCGCATTGCGGTTGACTAATTCTCCTGGGAGGAAGACTTTGACTGCTGACTAACCAATCTCCTCGTTCTCTTCTGCAGGCCGTGTATATTTACGCACAGGTATATTCTACATTTGATGCACTTGGTAAAAAATACTTAAGGGGAATCTGATATGATGTCACAGTATACTTTGTGTTCGACGGGCTTTTCGCTTCAGTTTCAACCGCAACATGCGTCTGTCTTGTGCTTAGTTTGCGATGGCTGGAATCTGAACTTATTTGCTACGTACACTGTACTTCTTGATTCTTAACTTTGTAAGAAATCAGGACGCAATTCACACGGAGAGCGGCTAACCAAACAGTAAAACAGGTTCACGAGATGAGACTATTGTTTGTGTGATCCCCCGCATTACCAAACTCTCACCTTAATCTCCCTTCTCTAATTTCTCTGTCTAGCTCCAACAAGCGAAAGCAGGCATACGGCAGACTTCGAAGCAAACACGCCTACTTGGCATTCACATCCACAGAGAGGTAAGACCCGAGATAACTAAACGGGAGGCTGAAACATATTTCACACGTTCTACTAGGTGTCGAGGTACTTTGCTGGCTGGCCTAGCTAAACAAACCACAGGTAAGCCACACAAAATTTGCCCGGCGGCAAGTCGTACAGCATCAGAGGCCATAAAGCCATAAAGATTCACGTCAGAGAGCCCAACACATGGAGCAACACCGTAAGCAAAAACTATCAGGTAAGCTTCATGGCTTGCACTTGGCATGTCCCAGTTCAATCGAGCATCGGACCACGCCCGCGGCCTCGGGCGCGCCATGGGCCTCCCCTTCTTCCCATGCCACGACCTGTGAGGTGACGAATGCGAGTGATGAGAGGTAGGGGCGTGCAAGAAGCACATCACTATGATATGTCACACCAGAGCTTACCACGGCCTGGAGGGGGGTATTCATAAGGTTCTCCATCGAAGTATTCATTCTGCTCCATCCATCTTCCCCTGCCACGCCCTGCGAAGCAATGGAGGATAGGAGCCATGAGAGGAAAGGGCATGCAAAAGCCACAGAAAGATGGTATGCGAGACCGAGCTTACCACGGCCTGGAGGAGGGCGATACTCATCTGGTTCGCCATTGTAGTATTCATTCTGCTCCATTCTTCTTCCCCTGCCACGCCCTGAGAAACCATGAGGAACATAAGCCATGTGAGATAGGGGCATGCAAAAATGAAAAACAGAAACAATGATACATCATACTGAGCTTACCACGGCCTGGAGGGGGTTGATACTCATCTGGTTCCCCATCAAAGTATCCACCCCGCTCTTCATAGTAGCCACCCCTGCCACCATAACCGTAATCATAGCCATAGCCACCACGTCGACCACCTCCGTAGTAGCCACGGGCTCTTCCCCTTCCTCTTAGCCGGCCTCTCCCTCTGCCTCTACCATTGTGGTAATAGTCTCCATCCTCCTCCCATTCTTCACCCCAGTCATAAGGAGGGGGTCCATTGCTAATAGCTGTACACGTTTATCATCACAGAATTAACATAGTTTCTTGTCCATATGATTTGTTGTAAGAAAATAACGCATGCACTCTGAACAAACTTATAAATTGTAGACTGAAAAATAAGTCCAGAAAATGAAGCCAATTGAAGCACTGTGAACTTAGAATGCAAGAAAACTAGATGATACCCAATGAATTCACCCTCAAGATTTAAACTATTCTATGTAGAAACAAAAAGGCAAAAAATAGTATAAAAGGTTGAGTGTGTCATAAATTAAATGTGATGGCATTTAAAATCCACTATGCATGTTGCAGGGTAGAGTGACTCGTTCAAATCGGAGGGATGTTAGTTGACCAGGCTAGCAAATCCAATGGCTATAAAAATTCGGATGGTGTGGAAGCACACATGCACAGAAAAATAGCAATTAATGACTTGTGGGGTTTGTCTATATAAGATATAGAGATATGTCAGTTTTTAGGAAGGTAGGTAAACAAACCAGTCACGTGTGAAAGGTACAGGGTGTAAAGGAGTAAGCCGTATTATGTATACGTAATAAGATATTGTAACTTGGCAACATGGGATGCTAAAGTTATAAAGATACGGTCGTGTCTGGGGGCCATATGAGTTACTATCTGAAAGTTGTGTGCTCGGAAAGACGTGAGGAAAAAAAATACCTCTGCCCCTGCCCCTTCGGCCGCCACCAGGTCCACCACGACCTCTACCACGAGCAGAGGGAAAGGATCCTAAATTACCATGAAGGACGTTGTGATCAAATGGTGATACATGTGAAAAATAAAAAACGGTGGAGCGGATCAACTCAGAGCAACACCTTCGTGTTCATAATCAAAAGCAGGTTTCACCTCTTCAGCTGGTATGGGTGGCTGGTACCTAAGGGTATATACCCACAATACGCAGACAAATTACAGCCAGTTTCCAATATTGAACAACAATAGACAGCTAAGGGAACTCAAAGCGGCTGAATCTGAACTGATTCAATATCTGGTTGTACAAAAATGAGCGAAAGGACAGGGCTTGCCTTACCCTGGAGATGATGTATCCAATGGTTCCTTGGACAATGTTAGGGTAATCATTGATACATGACGAGTTGTCTCTAGCCTGTGGTAAAAGTGCATTAGTGTGGCAATAAATCTTTCTTCTTTTTCTGAAGAAAAGAATATATGTACATCCATACGGGACAAGGCCTTCTTCCAGAGGCTCCCATGTGTCAGTGATGCCAACAGATTCAATAGACGTATTCTGATGGAGACCAGCAACCCTTCTCTGAGGAACATTATGTGTCAAATTAGCAAAACAAACAAAAAATAACCACATTAATAACAGATATTTTAAGGCAGAAGAAGTTACTATTAACCTTGATCAATTCAGCAACCATGACCGTCTTATTTATGGCACGTCCCATGGCTTTGATAGTGATCTCATCATGCCCATTTTCCTGAAAAAATGCATGCAAATAAATATACAGTAGGAGCAAGAAAAAAAGTGGTTCAGTTATGAATTCAACCAAAATGAAATCAAGATTAATAACACCATTTAGGGATTCTGAAAAATTCTGTTGACCACTGACCACAAACAGGTTTTCAGAAAATAATGACTGAAGCGGTATATGCAAATATGAAGGTAGCTTTTCGACATTCATGTGAACTGCACACAAGTTCATGTCATTTTATTAAGCTGATAACATGCACATACTTCAGGCATAAAGATCGAATGGTAAGTAAGTGAAACAAAGACAAACTGAAAGGCTTCACAAAGTTACGTTGTCAGACTCGAACAGGAAGTAATGGACAGAGAAGCACTACAGAATATTAACCAAGAAAACCCAAAGTCGGGCAGGTGTCTCTACTTTATTTTTTTATTATATACTTAGAAAGAACCTAGCATTCCATCTTTCACCCAGTTTTGTCTCATCAAACCAATCTTTGGCAACCCAATAAACCAGATCAATCTATGTAAAGCAGATTAGAAATAAATCCATGGTCCATAAATAAATTGTTTTTATGGTAAAACGGCTGGGCATTCGGTTTATATGGTTAATACGGTTCGGTTTATTCGGTGTTTTATAATTTCGGTTTTGTAGAAATGGAAACCGAATTAATCACACAATATTTAGAAACCGAACCATATTAACCATAATATATCGGTTCGGTTTATTTGGTTAACCGAAAAACCAAAATTTACATGCACTCATCAGTATATATCACAAGAGCTAGCAACCTTAACATCAGTCCGTGCTTTATTCGGTCAAGCAAACTAGTGAACATAACTAAGTGTAAAATCACATGGGGCGTTACATGTATTATGTACCGAAGAATATGTGTGATGCGTGTAAACTAAGCAACTCATGCACTAATTGATACACTAATTGCTAGTTACTTCCATAACCAAGCGCCGGGCATGCATACATACTCCTACGAGTACTAGTTAGATTGTGAGATTAGAAACTCATCTAGCGGCTGGCCTGACGTCTGCCACAACCAACAAGTATTTGCCAGAGGACGCGCCCCCGCTGCACTTTCGAAAACAAGGTATTGCATGGGGTATCGTACATATCGGTTTTTTCGGTGTATTCGGTTTTTGGACACTGGAAACCGAACAAAAACCAAACACCGAACAACCTTAAAATTTCCCACCGAACAAAAAATCGAATCACCGAATTAATAGATAAATCGGTTAATATGGTTCGGTTCGGTTCGGTTTTTCGGTTTTCGGTTCAAAAGTGCCCACCCAACCTGGTACTGATCAGTCATCTTTGGTAAATAACAATAAAATTCACTGCCCAGAAGTAAATAAATATCAACCAAACTCTTAGTATTTGGTAACCCGATAAAGCAGATTAATCATGGGCACATATCTATTTTATCAGTTTAAGAAATAGCTGGAAATCTATACTTTGTAAATAAAACGTAATCTTATTTTGTCTATTTGCTTTGCATCAAGATTTGTCCCATATGATCCTCTTACTGTGTTAAGAAATACTTAGCCCCCGTGGCAACGCACGGACAGCACGGACACATACCTAGTACTAGAATTATAAATAAAAAATCTAACATCATACTCGGTGGCAAATAGAAACACCTAATGATAAATTAAATACATGTGAGCACAGGCATAGGATGTTGAGCAGTGTCCCTGAACATATCCCCACTATCGAGGCATTTCCCAGATTGCTAAACATGGCATACAAAGAAATTGTTGCTTATTGAACACCAGATAAGGACAAAGCGAAATGACGAAGCATAGCAAGGGGCATCACCTCAAGCAACGACATCCCGTAGCCGATATAGTTCCTCATCCTCCCGAGCGCAGTGATCCTGATCTCGTTCTCACGAATCGGTGTCTCATTCCGAGGCTTCTCCACCCTTTGGTATCTATCCATGGCTATGAATCGAGATAGGTCTTAGCATGGCAAGAGCAGCAGCATAAATAAAGTACACAGAAATAAGGTAGGCATGAAAGGAGATGAGACGCGAGGATAAAAACGTAAGAGGCGACATGATAAATCGGATAACCGCCGGCCACGATTCATGCAACCCCCAAGAACCCTACCCCCAGCAGTCGGTTGCAGCAAACGATACACGAGATGAGAAGCTAAACCCACGCGAAACGGAATGAGAAGCTGAGGAAGGCACGCCATGACGGCACGGTGCGAATTTCTTGGAAAGGAAGAGGGGGGAGCACGAAGGAGCAAATGGCCCCGCGACACCCTGAATTCCTGATCCAGGAAAGCAGCCTGAGGCGCAGACCCAAGGAAGCTGCCGGAATGACGGCGGCGACACGGATTTCGCTCCGCATCGCCGAATGGCGCGAACAGGGCCCCGCCGGCAACGTCGCCTCTGCCGCCAACGCGCGCTCCCCGGCGGAGGCGAGGAGTCGAATCGGCTCCTAGCCGCCGCCGGCGCCCGAATCGGAGAAGAATCGACAGGGGGCGAGGAGGATGAGAGGGGGAAGGAATCGATCGCACCTTCGGGCTCGCTGCTCCGCTCTGCCTACGGAGAGAGTGAGGAGGGGTCTCGAGGTCGACGGGGTGGAGGGGGAACTGGGGAACCTCCCGTGGCGTGTGCGGGTTCATGGATGCATTACGGTCGTCCCTACGGGTGACGTGGAGGCGCTTTAGACGTTCGTTCGCGCGATTGCGTGGGCGTGTGGCCTCGATGGACCGGTTCGAGGATAAGGAGGGACTGCGTGCCACTGTCAGTTGAGGCCAGGCGACAAGTGGGACTGCGGGAGGGGCTCCGTGTCACTACAGGGCCTGCCTACTGACACGTGCGTCACCTGTGATAACGATACTCCCTCAAACGGTGCATGTAGATTTTCAAAAAAAAAACTTCACAAATTGATCACGTTTGTAGAGAGCAATATTTACATCTAGAGTGCCAAATATATACATATAGATTCATCATAAGTTGTAGTTTCGTATTTTATATATATTTGATATTATAGGAATAAATAGTTTTCTTTATTAACTTGATTTTGCAATGTTTGATTTTCTAAAAAAATCTATACGCATTATATATTATGAAACGGATGAAGTACTTCATAAGGTGATGCTCTGCACCGGTCAACTAGCGCGAGCTCCAGGCCAGCCACATCCAAACCGCTTGATGCGTTCCTCTTAGCGGTGAAATCACCCCTACATCCCCTCTTCCAAAACGCACAGGCATGCATGGTCAACCCTCTTTCCTTGTGCGAGTTGGAGAGTGGACAATTGCGCATTGGTTGGTAGCACCACGACGTGCCTGGCCGCAGCTCGATTGCAACTTTGTTGCCCCTTCCTACGGGTGGTATCAATATTGCTCGGCCATCGTTGTCGTCCGAGCATCAATGCATCATCTCTAGTTGTCTGT